CACTTTAAGTGCTACCCTCTACTGCCCACTGAAGTTGTGGCATGTGAACGTGGAAACAAAGGGGCAATCTTAGATATGTGAAGGCCCTAATCTTGACTTAGGTATAAGGTATAAGTCAATAGGATATGTACAGCCTCTACCTAGGATCCATGGGGGCTCCTCAGGGTTATGGTACAAGGTGATGCAGCACTGCTGTTACTTTGGAAATGTTTTAGGTCTGGTCCAATCCCCATCAACAGTTGCTCATATTATGTGTTGTCACATTGCAAATAAATGCTTCTTGAGTCCATAGCTTCACGTACATTTTTATTTTTAGGAACACCAATATATTTTGCAGTGCTTTACAAAGTACATAGACAGTTGACATCAGTCCCAGCCCTAAAAAGAGCTCATGATTGAATGTCCTTATTACAGTCACACATTAAAGTGACACTAAACTCAGGAATTAAATCTTAAAAATACGTTCAAGTATCTTAACTATTAAAGGAGAACTATGAGGTGAGTGCTTTTCACTCACCTCATAGTTCTAGCCGACCTGTGACAATGAGACTGTCACAGGTCAGCTCAGTAGATCGGGAGGTGAGTGAACACATATCGGAGTTCGCTCACCTCTTGATCCTGTCACAGCTCTCTGCCGTGACAGGGGAGGGGCTGGATTCCCTCCTCCCGCTCCGATACGCCAACGCTGACTGGCGCATCGGACGGGGGAGGGGGCGGGTACAGCTGGCTCTGCCTCTAGATAGGCAGATTCAGCCACATAAATAGGAGCAGTGATGGATTATTGCTGCAATTAGGAAGCAAGGCCGGATCTGAAGAAGGTCCTGCATGTCTATATGTCATCTATACTAATCACATAAAGGGTGGTTTACACTTAGCTCAGTGAATCTGCACTTTCTTCAAACACCCAGTCATAGGCAGAGAACCGGCCAAGACTTCTAATCTGAATATTGTGGCTTTTACCAGAAGAGCGGGTCTGTCTGAGAATGGTTTTATGTCGCGGAGCGCTCTGAGCTGCTAATCTGCAGTCAAACCAGTTTAAAAGCCCAACTCAGTCAAAAGGTTCATTTATAACCACTGGGTCCACATCTGGGGGGTTACTCCTCACTTCATGTCTAGTAACAGGGAATCAGTAGAACAGGATGTTATGGGGAATCTCTCCAATAAGCCACAACAAAAAACACTTTCACTATAGTAGAGCGGTGACGTTTTATAACCACTGTCAGGTTTTAATTGCTTGCCTGTGTCCCCACAGGGGAAATTGCTGCCCACTTCCTGTTCACTGACAGGGAAGCAGAGGAAAAAGAGGTTTTGGGAAATCTGTCCAACAGCAACAAAAACACTTTATTAATAGAGTCGGGTTTTTCCTGCTACCAGATGTTTCGGCTGGCGTTACATTTTAAATTTAGTGATTTCTTAAAGTTGAACTCCAGGCACATATAAAAGCCACAGCTCTGTGATCAGTAATACATCCTTAAGCATATTTTTTAAATACATGCAGTTGAAGTATCTGAATCTGACCTAGTACAGCAGAGCTCATAGTGTGATGTGAATGAAGCAGTACTAGGAGCCAATCAATGAATGTGCTAACAGGAGACATGCTGATAGGAGAAAAGAACAGAGTGACAGAGAGATGAGCTCATTGCTGTGCTGCTTCTCCTTTCACTGTCCAGGCACAGGCTGAGGGGGGGTCCAGGACAACCCGGGCTCCGAAGAAGTAGGTTGAATGATGCTGGCCTTCAGACTGAGGACATCTAACTGCAGAAAAAAACTAATGCAGGGTAAATCTCTGGATTCAAAGTGAATATTGCAGCAGGGGCGACAGACCGGGTGACACCCCGCTATGTCATCATCGCGTGTGCACGTGACATCACCTCATGCATGCGCATAGACGTCATCACGCATGCGCGACCATCTCTCTCCTGATACTGTCGGGCGTTCGGTCCATGACCGAGTGCCCAACTTTTCAGAAGGGGGTGACACCAAAATGACTGTCAGTCATTTTGGTGTCACCCCTCCAATGGTGTCACCCGGGTGCAGGCCGCACCCCCCGCATCCCCCTTGTGACGCCACTGACTGCGAGCACCCCCCACTACAAGGGACATTTCGGTAAGGAGTGCAACAAGGATAGTATTTATTGCCGTCCTCTCTCCTGACACTGTCGGGCTCTTGGTCCATGATACTAGTTGACATTAAAGTATATCTGAAGCCCAAAGACTTTGTGTTTATTCTGGATAGTTCAGGGCAGTGGTTCTCCGTGGTTCTCAGCTTCACCCTACCTCCTGTTGGGCCACGTCTTCCTGTCTGCTCTAGAGTCTACAGCTGGATCCAGAAATCAAGAGCAGCACAGAAATCGGGGAAGATTTCCCATCACATCCTGTCCTTTAGACACAACAGGATGTGGAAAGTAATCCTCATATTAAGGAAACTCCCTTCTTAGACAGTTGTCACTGGAACAAGTTTCCCCATTGGAATATTTCTTCTCAATACCCGTTATGATGACAACTCACAATTTTGGATTTCTCATCACTTTCAGTCCCAGGAACCATGTCTACCCGGACAAACGGAGAGGTTGAATCTCACCAGCAGGACACAGACAGCCATACAAACCCAACATAGGTTCTAATCTCTTACCACACTATGCAAAAATGAAAAAACAATGACCTTGTATACACTTTAAGTGCTACCCTCTACTGCCCACTGAAGTTGTGGCATGTGAACGTGGAAACAAAGGGGCAATCTTAGATATGTGAAGGCCCTAATCTTGACTTAGGTATAAGGTATAAGTCAATAGGATATGTACAGCCTCTACCTAGGATCCATGGGGGCTCCTCAGGGTTATGGTACAAGGTGATGCAGCACTGCTGTTACTTTGGAAATGTTTTAGGTCTGGTCCAATCCCCATCAACAGTTGCTCATATTATGTGTTGTCACATTGCAAATAAATGCTTCTTGAGTCCATAGCTTCACGTACATTTTTATTTTTAGGAACACCAATATATTTTGCAGTGCTTTACAAAGTACATAGACAGTTGACATCAGTCCCAGCCCTAAAAAGAGCTCATGATTGAATGTCCTTATTACAGTCACACATTAAAGTGACACTAAACTCAGGAATTAAATCTTAAAAATACGTTCAAGTATCTTAACTATTAAAGGAGAACTATGAGGTGAGTGCTTTTCACTCACCTCATAGTTCTAGCCGACCTGTGACAATGAGACTGTCACAGGTCAGCTCAGTAGATCGGGAGGTGAGTGAACACATATCGGAGTTCGCTCACCTCTTGATCCTGTCACAGCTCTCTGCCGTGACAGGGGAGGGGCTGGATTCCCTCCTCCCGCTCCGATACGCCAACGCTGACTGGCGCATCGGACGGGGGAGGGGGCGGGTACAGCTGGCTCTGCCTCTAGATAGGCAGAGCCAGCTGTCAGTCACGCAGCCGGGTGGATCCCGACACCCGGTATACTGAGCCTAGGGTGACGGGAGGACGCTAGTTTGTGTCCTCCCGTTACCCTGAGGAGAACTATGGGGAAAAGCCTTAACCCCATAGTTCTCCTTTAACAAAAATGTATCTTATTTGTGTATCCTCAAATCATCATTGAAATTCTGGAGGGTGGCTACTTTTGTTCCCCATGGTCCCTGTGTGTGTTGTAAAGTAGCTACCGCTCCAACCTCACTCCTGTGATGAACTACAATTTCAATACAAATTAGTAAACTAAACATGAGATTGTAGTCCATCACAGGAGTGAGCTTGGAGCGGTGACTACTTTACAACAGACAGAGGGACCATGGGGAACAAAAGTAGCCACCCTCCAGAATTTCAATGATGATTTGAGGATACACAAATAAGATACATTTTTGATAATAGTCAGGGTACTTGAATGCATTTTTAGGATTTATCTCCTGAGTTTTAGTGTCATTTTAATGTCATGAGAAATGATTTGCGATCCTGTTCATGGGCCTATTACATATATCAGGGTGCTGATTAAATATTTATTGCAGCAGTACAGCAAGTGAAGGCAAGCTTTTAGGATGTTTTATCACTTAGTATTATCATGTTCCATTATTGGTCTTTAAATCTGTGTTCTAAACCATTCATTGAGTTAAGTATCATCTCTGTAATCATTCTGTGAGGTTTTATTTACAGTCTTCTCCAATGTTTTTCTGTAGCAGACATCTTCTTTGCCAGAAGGGATTTACATTAGCTTCATTTATTAGAAGACAGGCAAGGCCAGGAAGATAATGGGTACCACTTCAGCCACAGCCATAACTGTGAACCTATTACGCATGACCTAATGGTCCATTGCTTGCATAAGTGCTGTGCCTCAGTTCGGTGGATCTACAATAGAGGCAGGAAAAACGACAACAAATGAGCCCCTGAATTTAGGAGGTGCCTGAATAACAGAGCCTAGGGGAGGATCCAGGGCCTTCACCCACTAAGCCTCAATACGGTGGAAGCATCTAGAAGGCTCTCCATAGCAGCAAATTAAGCTTACTTCCATTTTACCATATTGAACTGTATACTGGAGGATCTCAATGGTTGCTACAGTTCCTCAGGTAGCAGATGCTACGATGATGTGAGTTCTTGTAGTTGCCTAGGCTTCAGGTTACTCAAAGATCAGAAGGCTACGGTACCCTGTACACGAGCAGCGAGTTGATTGTGGGTGCCGTATGATGACGACATCCTTAAAAACAATTGTCTTTATTGCCCCACAAACTCCAACCAGATTTTAGATTTCATAATCCAGGACAGGATTGATTGAACGTTATGGGTAACAGTAAGGCAACAGTCAAATATATAAAGTTCAGTTCTATCACTTATTTAGATTCTTTGTCATTTACAGCTATGGTTTTGGAGTTCATTTTTTTTTTACAGTTTACCGTAAGTCATTTGAAAGGCATTTCATTTTATACCATAACAGTATCATTGGGGGAAAGGGAGAAATTTTGAAGAAGCTCAGATCTTCACTAAGCTTCTATTCCCCCTAACCCCCTCGTACCATCAATGGGAGCAGAACACAATGTCCTTTAAGGTTTTCCTCAGCTCCTGACTCCTAAAAGCATAGATGATAGGGTCAATAATGGAGTTAAAAATAATCAGGACATAGCTGATGTTGAAATACTTGAAGTACTCGAGGCAGAATGAGTGCTTTGGACAGGACACAATTAAGGTAAGATGAAGGAAGAATGGTCCCCAGCAAAGAAAGAAGATTCCGAGTAATATTGTTAGGGTGATGGCTCCCCTTAGTTTCGCTGCCACTTGATGTGGAGATAGTCTTCTATTCACCCCTTTCTGTTGGACCGAGATGCTGCGTGAGTGGCGTCTTGCCAAGATAAACATGTGGATGTAGAGACCCAACATTAAAACCAACATAAAGATGAAAAACACAATCAGGCAAAAGATGACAACATGGCTGTTGGAAAATACGATGAAAGTAATGCTGCAGGCGGTACTGGCCAACCAGATCCCGGCAATGGCATTGACTACCCTTCGTTGGGTAATTATGTTGTGATATCTCAACGCGTAAAATATAGTGACGTAGCGATCTACAGCAATTGCTCCAAGGAACGATAGTGACGTCACCAGCGAGCACAGGATCATGGTGTCTACAACATTGTCCATCATTTTTACCATTGGTTCATTGTAGCCTATGATGGCATGGCTTAGTAGGATGAGAATCACTGTCTCTATGAGATTGCTGATGCTGACAAGCATGTCCGAAGCAGCCAGGCAGCAGATGAAATAGTACATAGGTGAGTGGAGATTGTGGTTTTTGGCAATGGCCACAACAACTAAGATGTTCTCCAACAAGCTGAGAATGCACAAGAATAGGAAGACCCCTTTAGGAACTTCGATATGGATGATGGATGTCTCATTTTGTTTTGACATCAGAATGGTAGTAAGACTGTCATTGACATCTGTCTGTAGGACTGTGAAGTTGGTCATTGTGAGCTGTGGAAATAAAATAACAGAGATTAGATAAGATAGCCAGGCACCTTTCCTTGGTAGAGTTCAGAAATATCTAATCAGGTCAATTTGTAAGCTTATATATTTAGTTCGGGAAGTGCAGATCATAGAGCCACTTCCATTATTACAGACTTTATATAAAATGTGTTTCTATTGCTGCCCATATCCCCATTAAACCCCAACTCAAAGCTATCATCCACAGTACTTCTTTTATGCCATAGGATGTCCTCAGGTGTCCTCAGTCTTCCAGGTTGAATGACATCAAGTGTCATTTAGCTGGAAGACTAAGGACATACTGTCAGTGCAGGACATCATGGACCTGCATCACGAAGGACTGCCCACTGCTAGGAGGAGATAAAAAGAAAATTCTACGCACCAAGACTCCAGCCTGAAGACATCAGGTAAAAGTACATATAAAAAATGAAGCATAAGATACAAATAGGGGAGCCTTCAGGCAAACGGGATCTGCTGAGGGGGAGCCTGGAGCCCAAAGTTCAAATAAAAAAATTAAGCACAACATACACATAGGTGGGCCTTCGGGCAAAGAGGATCTTCTAAGGGGGAGCCTGGGGCCCAGAGTTGGGCTTTAAAGAGACTTTCTCCATCTGTTCAGACTGACATGGGTTTTTTCCTTCACTTCCTGTACTGGCAACTGTCAATTAGACTTGTGTCTCCGTTTTTTTATTTAGGCTGTATCTCCTTTAATAACTCGAAAGATGAAAGGGGTTCTAACCGTCCCCCACTCTATCCAAAATTAAAAATAAACTCAAACATAGTTTAGATACTTGAGATAGAATGCTTTGAAAGGAACACCTGTTCTTCAGCGATAATTATTGCTTGTTAAGGATAGGTGTCGTTATTGGTATTACTTTAAAAAGAAACCAACAGTGACAACACATTTGAGTGATAAAGTTGTATCATTTGTTGCTGTTCTACTTCTACTATTCACTAGTTTTATCAATAGGATTCTTAGTGCTCCCTCTAGTGGTCATTCTGGAGTTGTGATTAGCATTCCCTTCTCGGCAAACATTTTATTACATGTAAAATGTAAGGGACCATTTATATTTCTCCAGGAAGTTGCAACCCATTAATAATGACAATCTGACGTGACTCTTTTTTTTTTTAACACATGTGTGTGTTATGGTGTGCTGTAATGCTGCAGTCTACTATACCATTGCGTTGGAGTGCCATTCCAAATGGACCGTGGTTTGCACGTTACTATGAGTTGCCGTAACAGGCGATAAAACACAGGTTAGTAAATGTGAATCTAGCCTATGGGTGTTTAGCAGAATATACACTGCTTGGGCCCCCAAAAAAATTCACACACTCTAATATTTCGTTGGAGCACCTTTAGCTTTGATTATGGCACACATTCACAGTGGCATCATTTTGATAAGCTTATGCAATGTCACAACATTGCATTAATTCTTCACCAAGTTCTTGTAGTGATGATGGACCACGGCGTAAAGTCTTCTCCTACACATCCCAAAGATTCTCAATGGGGCTAAGGTCTGGATTTTGTGGTGATTAGTGATTAGCCAGCTCCATAAAGACATGGTTTGATAAGTTTGGAATGGAGGAACTTGAGCCTCAATCCTACCTTTGGGGTGCATTGGTACAATAAATGAGAGTGAGGGCTTCTTATCCATCATCAGTATATGAACCTACAAATGTTCTTTTGGCTAAATAGACACAAATTGTCACAGACACACTCCAAAATCAAGTGGAAAGCCTTCACAGAAGAGTAGAGGTTGTTATAGCAACAAAGGGGAGGTGGAAGGATCCAATATTAGTGACCATGGTTTGTGAAAGGCATGACCAGCAAGTTCATATGGCCAGGTGTTCACAAATTTAGGATGACAGTCTGTGCGTGTCTATCTATCTATCTATCTATCTATCTATCTATCTATCTATCTATCTATCTATCTATCTATGTGTCTGACTATCTATCTCTAGGTTCCCCTCTCTCTCTCTCTCTCTCTCTCTCTCTCTCTCTCTCTTGCCTTGCGGTAACACCTAAAATAATGCATGGGAGTGAGCCCTTAGTCAATAACCCAGAACTATCTCTCTCTCTATCTATATTGCTGAGTAGCAGTGTGGTCCTTGGACGCAGTGTTGTGTATGATGTACTAAGTAGCAGTGGCTCCGCAGTATAGTGCCATTGGCAGTGCCATTGGATGAGTTAATCGAACATAATATAGACGTGATGTCATTGGTGATGAATATATCATCGGTGATGTCTTTTTAGAATTGTCTTTTCCGACTTCACCGGCTGCCTGCTGGTTCCAGTGCACCAACTCATTTGGATGCACTGTGAGAGCCTCAGGTACGTTTTAAACAAGCCAGCAATAACATTTCACTTGTTTTTCCTGTGACAGGTTCACTGTAAAGTTTTGGCAGATATGACTGAGACTGACTTTCAGCAGAGAGTATTGAATCATTCAAAAATCATGTAGATACCTTCCTCCAGAGACCGTAACATACAGGGGTGCAGGTACTCATAAAAACTAGACCGCACTGGGACTCATATACACACACACACACACACACATACACACACACACACACACACACACACACACACACACACACACGCACACAGAGATAAACAACGCACGTA